GAGTAGCCCAAGAGTTGTCGGTGGGTCGTGATGACTAGCTGCCTTCCCTCTAGTCTTACACTGCTAAATTAGGGACGGCTAGCGCAGATAGCCCTCGTGTAGCTTTGCTCGAAATTCAAAACAAACAAACTTGTAGTATCCTGCTCGACTAAAAATCCAGCGAAACAAGTATTTGTATATTTTAGCAAGTTTGAGACACCTCGAGTTTCATTCAGTTATTCACCACCCCATTTTAATTTTGTGTTGAAACCTAATGTTCTATTTTTTTAACTTTGTGCTGCTTAGTGAAAAGCTTTAAATAAAGGTTTGTGTTTTACACTTGTTCTTTTCAATTCACCGCTTACACTTGTCAACTTATTCTTGATAAATGAATCCCTCGGTTATTTACGGATTTAGAGTAATCTACGTGAATTTTTTTATTCAAAAATGTTATAAAGATAATCTTTGTTTAAGGCATTTATTTATGTATTATCGTCTAATTATGTTCTACTTCCAAATTGAAAATACTCTACTTAATACTGAAACTACAATAGTCTGAAAGTTTTTGTTTTTCATAGTGGCATTATTCTTTAAGGAGAAGAAGAAAATTGTTAAAATCGATTTATTGAAAAGAAACATATGTGACCAACGACTTTCAATGTTTATAAATGTGGTCAACATTTCGGACAAAGGAAAGTCGTTCGGCTAAAACCTGACCATATATTTATCTTTTCTTACAACATTTCAAACTATGTCTTTATATTTTTTGATTCTGTAAAGCCTGATATAAGATTGACATTATCTGAATTTAATCTTCAGGTTTTGTCAGCTGAACCGAATAGCCTGTTCAGAAACCAATCACTATTATGTCGCTATATCCCCAATAGTGTAATTTGCTGTTCAAAAAAAAAAGATAGAAAAAAATTACAATTACAAATGAATCAAACACCAATCACTATGAATTAATTATTTCATTTGGTAAGAAGACGACTTACTTCAAGCAGGTGGACAAGTCTTGTCAGGTATAAAAAAATATTATTATATTTTTGATTTGTTGTAAAGCCTATTTTCTTACAAAATATGTTCCTGTATTTGTATTTTTAGCACGAAGTGTTTGCCAATAACTTATAGTTTCATCATGTAGCTACTTTACTGAAACAGGTGGATGGAATATTGTAAAGGCCTTATACAGCAGCAATGCAATTAATCTACGACATTTTTCTCGCGCGTCTTTCGAATAGTGGCACGATACCAACATATTTTCCTAATGTCATTACAGGCTAGGTTTGTATTATATTTCTTTTATATTTTAGCTTCATTCGTCATATATTGGAGGAAAGTTCTTTTGTATAAATGTTGTTACATATTTTTATTTTATGTATTCCAAATACACATACACGTAAAACCGGAAATTATGGTAGTTCCAAGCGTACGGTTAAACTTTGTTCACAGCGACACGAGGTTGAAGTTTTCACGTAATGTTTAGGAACCTCTAGAAAACAGAAGCTAATTAAAGTTGAATAAAATACTTCTATTTGTATTAAAACTAAACGACTGATTGCTTAGACCTAGCGGTAGAAAAACATGTACGTTTACAGCTAACTTCTTAAGTTTAATTCGAAACTTCAAGGAATAGCCTAAATATCTTTAATCAGAAAGGGTTCTTTTTAAACTCTTGCAATAACCATACCCTTTCTGATAAAAGAGTTAGCACAAAGGATCACATATAAAGTGCAATAGACTTAAAATAAGACCCAGAACTCCTTTGTTCTCCTGAAGAAGAATAGTCAACTATTCGAAAGCGCTCGAGTTTTGGGTCTTATTTTAAGTCTGATAACTATACCCTGTTTAGTGCACGAAACTGAGTGAACTGTATACATCGTGATGAGTTGTCACATGTTGACACTAATATATGTTAAAATTGTTAAATATACAGGGGGCAAGGGGGGCATTTGCCGACCTAAACTTTTTTCTTGTCCCTCGGTTTGCCCCCCCCCCCAAATTTAATCCTACATACATAGAACAAATACAATGTGTATAACAAGAATACACGTTCGCACGCGCACTACCGTTTTACGGGATGTTTTTTTCTTGTATGCCAGAAGTCAACAAGGTATATCCTACCATAACTGGTATTCCCTTTAACCCTACTTTTTCATACTAATGGTACTGTTGCACTAAATAATTATTTATCTAATTATATGATGCTCGAAAGAACGTTATTCATCAGTCCACTTATAGAGGGACTTGCTATTCCCACCCACCCCCAAAAAAGCTAGATATGCTAGAACGGTCAAAAACCTGATCCTTTCCAAGGTCTCTGAGTACTTTGGGGGTTCAAAACTCAATACAATGTACTTTTTGAAAACCAAAGTTGTCTCAGTGTAACTTAGCACGCTAAAATTTCGGGGGATAACGAGTCCCTTTAAAATTACACGTGAGTATATGATGTCTTGTTTTGCCTCCCAAAAAATTGGCTTGCCCCTCCCCATTATTTGGTACGGCGCCACCACTGGTAATCAAATATAAATTAATCATTTTTATTTTTACGATAATCCAGTTGCTTGAAATTCACGAGTTGCCACATTACAACCATAACACTTCATACTTATAGTGACACATTAAATTTACTTTCCCTATAGCTACATCGGTTAGGTTTGCATACATAACTTACTGAACCGAATTCATATGAGAGGTGTCTTTGGAATAAATATAATAGATGAATCCAATTACATTACACAAAAACTTCGTAACGTCAAGTAATAAAAACAACAGAACAACAACCTAAACCTGATTAAAGATTACAACTGAAAATACAAAGAAATGATCAAAGTCATTGCCAAAAGCATTTGGCCAGGTTGTCGCAGAGGACGTCCTGGTGATAACCGTCTTAATATTGTTTAGCAAAACCTTCGTTCAAAATAATAGCTGTAACTATGTTCTTAACTAGGTTTTCAACATGATTTGGGGGTAATGTGTCTCTAGTGTTATTACATAAGATTGGGTTGGTGATTAATGGAGGGTTGTGCTTTTGATTTTTCGAATTAATCCCCTGTGCAAGTCACAAAGTTATTTTATGTTAAGATTTAGGCCTAGACAGCCCATTTCATGTCGATTTTGTTATTTTGCACCAGTATGTGCTTTGTTACAAGGGGTTTTATGTTGCTGAAAACGGCACATTGACTAAAAACTTCTGCAACGACTCCCGGAACCCATAAATTATAATACCCCACCACGATTCTACACAGATAGATTCATACCATAATACCCCACCACGATTCTACACAGATAGATTCATACCATAATACCCCACCACGATTCTACACGGATAAATTCATACCATAATACCCCACCACGATTCTACACGGATAGATTCATACCATAATACCCCACCACGATTCTACACAGATAGATTCATACCATAATACCCCACCACGATTCTACACAGATAGATTCATACCATAAATGAATCTATCTGTGTAGAATCGTGGTGGTAACCATAATACCCCACCACGATTCTACACAGATAGATTCATACATAATACCACACCACGATTCTACGCAGATAGATTCATACCATAATACCTCACCACGATTCTACGCAGATAGATTCATACCATAATACCCCACCACGATTCTACACAGATAGATTCATACCATAATACCCCACCACGATTCTACACAGATAGATTCATACCATAATACCCATCACGATTCTACGCAGACAGATTCATACCATAATACCCCACCACGATTCTACACAGATAGATTCATACAACAATACCTCACCACGATTCTACACAGATAGATTCATACCATAATACCCCACCACGACTCTACACAGATAGATTCATACCATAATACCCCACCACGATTCTACACAGATAGATTCATACAACAATATCTCACCACGATTCTACACAGATAGATTCATACAATAATACTTCACCACGATTCTACACGGATAGATTCATACCATAATACCTCACCACGAATCTTCACAGATAGGTCAACACAATAATATATCCCCACGAATATTCACAGATAGGTCCACACCATAATATCCCATCAAGATTCTTCACAGATAGGTCTACACCATAATACCCCACTACGACTCATTTCAGATAGGTCCACATCATAATATCCCATCAAGATTCTTCACAGATAGGTCTTACACCATAATATCCCATCAAGATTCTTCACAGATAGGCCCACATCATAACAGCTACTTAAAATATTTTCCTTCTCAAACTGGTATTTCATGACCTGTTGCCACCTTGCGCACACATATTTTGGCTACTTTTCTGTCTACCTGAGAAGAATCTGTGTTTATAATCAACGAGTTTCCTTACAAAGAGAAGAACTGTAAAACAAAAATGAGCCCCTCTCTTTGAAGTCGTGAATGCGCTTTAGGAATGATGGTCAAATTTCACCATTTGATCAGATAAGAGTAGCCCAAGAGTTATCGGTACGTGCTATTGACCATCTTTTTTCCTTCCTTCTAATCTACCAGTTCAAAATTAGGAACAGTAACGCGCAGATTACCTTTTTTTGTAGCTTTGTGCGCAAATCTGAAACGAACAAACTCCGATACAGTTTGATTGGAATTTAATGTTCTCTTCTACCATCAACTGGTTGAATGAGAGTTAATTTATCAACTGTCATCCAAATTTAATAAGTTCTAAGCCTAACCCTTACCCGAAAAACTTTACTGTCTATTCTCACAAGTTTGCTGATCTTTCACATTTCTTCAGAAGTTCGCCGAAACAGTCTTATGATGTATTCTCAAAAATTTATTTAGGCATTAGAAATAAAATAATAAATTAGAAAAAAAAATCAAACAATAACTTTTTGAAATTTTAAACTAAGCTATTTGTTAAAGTGTGTTGAAGTGTTCGCAAAATTGATGGTACATTGACATATTTTTTGAAGATAATGGAAAAGCAGTGAAAACGATTCAGTAAAATGATACTTTGAAAGTTTTTAACGCATATTTTTTTTCTCGTTCAATTCATACTTACGTTTCATCACGTTCGACTCGCACTGCCATTCTCGACAGCAGGCACCAGGCACCTGCACGAGCTGCGCGTTGCGACACTTAGCTGAAGGACGGAAGTTTTCATGGGGACATAACGAGACACATCCGTAGGTTCCGTTCTGACAGGTGCACTGTGTCTTGCAGTCCAATTTGAAAGATTCCCCGTCTTTATAGGTGTTTCCTGCCACATAACAACCCATTCCTTTTTTTGCTGCAACAAAATAAACATAACAATTTACATTTTGACATAAAAGGAGGAACAGAAACTTAACAAGGAATCGTGTCATTTCGAAGCATTCAAGTTGTAAAATTAAAAAAAATCTAATATAATTAAATATATTTAAATTATGTGTATTTATACCTATATCTAAGCCCCCCAGTGGCACAGCGGTATGTCTGCGGACTTACAACGCTAGAGTCCGGGTTTCGAGATAGCCCATTGTGTAGCTTTGTGCTTAATTACGCACAAAAAAACAAACCTATATTTAAAACAGTTCTTCTAAAAACATCGCCATCTGCCAAAGAAAAAGAGAAACTTAAAACACGCGATACGTAACAGCAGTAAAATGATATTTTGGAGGAAAGTGACCTGTAAAAATAGATAAATATAATATAGAATGTAATAAATTTTCAACTTTAAACAGGTGGAAGGTTATCAGGCTAAAGAGAACCGAAGGCATTGACGTTTCAAACAATTGAGATTGTATGACACGTATTCGTAAAATTTACAACACTTATCTAAACACAAACAAAAATGTTTTTCCTGGAATATAGAGGAATACGATACGAAACAATGAACTAATACTACATTAAACGAAGACCGTGATGACGTTAGCTCATTGGCACGTTTAAAAGGAAGAAACTTAAAGGTTTACCATAACTTTTGTATTTTAGCAAGAACTAGAACTCAAAGGCTTAACACAAGGCTTATATGAAAAACTATGATTTCGTAACGAGTGTTTTTTTATTCTTTTTGTTACTGCACAATAAAGGATAAAACCAAAATGAATGAAATTTGCTTTCGATAAAAAATACTAATTCTACACACAAGTTTGACAATGGAGTATAAAATATCGACATGTCTGTTTTAAGATTTTATAATCTAAATGAAACGTCTTTTCTAATAACATAGGAATTCTATAATAAAACATTCTTCTCACACCCAGTTCTTGTAGTTTCAAATGTTAAAACATTTAGATTAGTTAACAGTATTTCTCACACCCAGTTCTTGTAGTTTCAAATGTTAAAACATTTAGATTAGTTAACAGTAT